GTAGCAGCAGAATGGCGGTTTAAATGTATGTCGTATATGACTTGCTGTATATACATCACGTCTTATGCCAACAGATAATGTCTAAAGATGCAATTAAGCTTTGTCTGGATGAGCTGTGCTGTGCTATTTCATTCTCAGGTGGATTTTTTTGGGCAATAAAGATGATCCCCTTAATGCAAAAGCTCATATTATCCGTGTGTCCCCTTCTTCCTCGATAAAGCGAAGAGGGGTTTGAAACAAATTCATTAAGAGCTGGTAAGTGGGTGCGGTCTATTCCGTGCAGTCTGACAATGGACTGTCATTTTCAAGCTGGGCCCATTATGGCACATTTAGGCCATCTGAGCCCAGTTGGAAGGAGATTTATAATTAACAGCCATAATGTAATGAAGTCTAACAGTGGCCCCAGAGAGTGCTGGTCATCAGCTGCCTGTTGAGACTCATAGAAGTAGAGGCATTTGACTCACTTCATCATACTGTGATCCTTACAAAACAAACTCATTATTATTATTTTTTTGTAACACTGTTTCACTTTCCATTATTTAGCATTTAATACAGCAGGAAAAATAAGGTTGGGCTAGATTTACAGTGTAGTCTATTATATTCACCTTGCAAAGTATGTCTATTAGGTGTGTGATGGCCAAATCCACAGCTGCACAATTCATATACACTCACTGGCCACTTATTTAGACACAGATGTTCTACAGCCTGTTAACACAAATATCTAGTCAAGTCAATGGATTTAGGCATGCAGACTTGGGCAAGGCAATCTGCTGAAGTTCAAACCAGCACCCGGAAGTGGAAGAAAGGTGATTTAAGTGAATTTGGGTTGAGAAAATGTCCAGTGAGTGGCAGTTCTCTGTGAGAAAATGTCTTATTGAGGTGAGAGGAGAATATCCAGACTCCTTTGAGTTGATAGGAGGGTAGCAGTAACTAAAATAACCAGCTGTTACAACCAAAGTAGGCAGAAGAGCATCTCTCAATTCATGAAGTAAATAGGCTACAGTGGCAGAAGTCTACAACAGGTGCTCCAAGTCACACTGGCTCACAGAATAGCAGAAAATGTTTGCCTGATCTGATGAATCTAAGTTTCTGTTGTGACATTTGGATCGTTGAATGAGAATTTGGCGTTAACAACAGGACACCATGGATCTATCCTACTGTTTATCACAATTTCAGGTGGTGTAATGGTGTGGGGAATATTTTCTTGGAACACTTTGGGGCCCTTTGAGAATCATTTAAATGCCACATCTAACCTGAGTATTGTTCTTGATCATGTCCAATTCTTTATGACCACAGTGTGCACATCTTTAGATGAATGTTTTGCATGTCTTTGTCTCTGTCTGTCTCCCCTCACCCCAACCAGTCTCAACAGATGGCTGCCCGCTTGTCCCTGAGCTTGGTTCTGCCTGAGGTTTCTTCCTTTTAAAAGGGAGTTTTTCCTTCTCACTGTCACCAAAGCACTCACCCGTAGAAGGTCATCTGATTGTTTGGGTTTTCTTGGTTTTCTCTGTACTATTGTGGGGGTTTTACTTTACAATATAAAGCACCTTGATGCAACAGTTGTTTAGTGTTGTTGTTTGGTGCTGTTTCGTTGAACTGAATTGCTTCCAGGAGGATAAGTCATGTCACAAAGATTAGTCACCCAATCTCAATCCAGTTGAGCAACTTTGGGATGTGGTATAGAGGTAAATTCACATCATGGAGCTGCTGACAAATCTGCAGCAGCTGTGCGTTGCTATCATGTCAATAATGACCAAAATCTCTGACAGGTTTCCAGTAACTTGATGAATCTGTGCCTCGAGGAACTGAAAGTGAGAAAGTCCAACCAGATACCAAGAAGTTGTACCTAACAAAGTGTCCAGTGAGTGCAAATATTACATCAGAATTCCAGTAACAAGATAAGAAGGAGAGGCGACGAGGAAACGAGCGAGGAGGAGGCAACGCTAAACCTGAGGAATAAAGATGGATGAATTGTGAGAAAGACAAATCAGAATCCAAGTGAAGCCATTTGTCCTTTACCCCTCCCTGTCTGTCAGCAGAAGCCAAATAATCTCCTCATTTATCTGGGGTTAAAACTCACAGCGCGCACAGAGGGATTTGCAACAAGCTGGAGATTTTTCACACCATCAGCCGTCAGTAAGTGAGTTAGTGATCTTGAGTGATATATCCCTGTATGTCCCTCTTCTTAAATGAGTTAGTATGTGTCTAGTGGCCGTGTCGCCAAGACGTGCTGGTGATGGATGAGGCTCTAAGGAGATGGGCTGTAAAAAAAGGCTGATTCTGGCACTCAAGGGTGAGATCACTTCCTCAATAAAAAAGCATTGTCCCGAATCATCACAGCAAGGTATGAATGCTGATTAGGGTATTAGGCGAAAGAGAGCTCCGCTGTAAAAATAAATCAAATGAGCTGCGAGTTAATGCAGAGGGTCCCTCTGATACAGAGCTACGGTGTCTACGACCGGGGCCCAATGGCTTCGGATACAAAGACAGCAGTAAATAATGAGTAATTATTCCAAGTCCCTCATTGCTGGATTACAGGCAATGTCTTACACTCAACTAACCCTGCAAGGGCTTCTCTTAATAGTTGCTCTGTAATGGCCGCAGGGAGGCATCATTTTTAAGGCGTTATTGTCCTTAAGAAAGAAAAATATTCCTGGAGAGTAATTATCACACTTTCTTAACAACGAGCTAAAGACAAAATGAGCTTCCGTGTCCTCGTAACAAAATGACAGAATTATCCAAAGGTCATTGAAAGAGCTGTATTTTTTAATGGATGTTGGAACTTTTTCCTAGATAAATGGTAAAACTGACGTAAAACAAAGATTTCATGATACACCTGATACACACTGGGAAAAGTGGTGGCAAGTTTTTCTTCAAATGCTCTTAGTGTAAGAAAAAGATAATTAACGCACTGATTTTATCTAACTGATTGGTCACTGGACGGTGACGAGTTCCTTCCTGCGCTGTCACATAATCATCATCTATCTAGACATGTTAAAGGTGAGCAGGTGAGAAATTTCCCTTCTTTAGTAGATGAAGTGAAAGCAGATGGTAGTTGTGGCAGACTGTGTACAGATCATTCTGAGGACTTTAACAAGTAGGTAGGAAAACAGATGACACTGATACCTGCATCAATGCATACATCCAGGATACAACAGGGGACCATTTTCCATGTAGAATTTAAGAGGAGGAAGAAGAAAATAGAAAATAAAAGATTTCATGCAATCCTCTGGAAAACTGTTAGTAAAGTTATTGCTGTAGCTCTTTACTGTCAATCACCCCATCACCTCCACCAAAGCAGGCTGAACACCTGAAAAGTTGAAGGTCACTTTAAGACTTTGTGCACCAGTTTCTCCAGCACACAAATCGAAGGGTTTAGTTGATCTTTAATATCATTATTATTATTATTATTATTAAATAATGAGCATACATGTGACGGGATATGCAGCTGTTCCAAATCTCACTGCAGTGCAATAAAAAACTATGACTGGGTGTGAGGTAGGTTCACTCAGGAAAGGGCAAAGCCAGCAGTAGCTGCCTAGTGCCATCGTGTGGTCATACAGGATATTGCACAGGTCAGTAAGTTCACGTTATTCTCAGAAATATTTGGAGCTCATATTACAAAGTTTTTTCTTTACAAAAAAATATTTTAGCTTCCCCCCCAAAATGGTTATAAGTATATCCATTCACCCATACTCTTCCACATATCCGGTCCAGGGATGCAGTTGGGCTGGACAGGTCGCGAATCTGTTGCAGGACTAACACATTCATGCCTACAGCCCATTTAAAATCAGCAGTTAACCTTACGTACATGTCTTTCAACTGCGCCAGCAATAACATGATGATGCATAAAATTCAGTTAAACAGTGTAACTGAAACTCATGCTGGCCAAAGGCCCCTTATGAGCCAGACAGTGTGTTATCCTTTAAATCAGTCACTGACAAAAGCTGCTTCCTTTTGAGTAATCAAAGTAGAATTAGTGGCGTAAAGGGCATACGATAAAAACAGAAGTTACCACATTACAGCTTTATCTTTAGATGGGTTTCTTTTTAGTCACTATTATTTAGCAATAAAGAAAAAGTGAGTTTTCCACCCAAAATTTAAAGAGAAACTCCAAACGTAAGATGACCGATTTCACTTGAAAATAAACTGAGCAAATATTATGTACAGTTTCCTCTTGATGCACACAAATAACCAAGTTAAACTCATACTGGTTCCTTTTTTGAAGCACAGATAAAATAAAAAGGTATTTTTTAAGAGCACAGCTCCCCCAAAGGGCAGGGCCTACAGTAAAACTTTGATATTTTTATTGCAATATCAATATGTCAGCCTGTTTTTTATTGTCATTGTGATGTCTTAGTGCATCATATTGAGAAAATTAAAAGTGTTGTACAGCTCTCTCTGTGGCCTTTCATATGATATACAGGACGCTAAGGTCACGCTTAAATGCTTAGCCAACCTAGGCACCCATGTTCCCCATGACCTAGTATGTTGTTTTGAAATTTAAAGAAAATCCATAAAAAATTGTAGGCAATATAAAGTTTTTACTGATTTTCCCACCAATTTGGATGTGATGTTGATCTTTCACCTAAAGTAATTTGGTTGGAGCTGTTGCTGGTATCTACCATCTCACAAAATTTGAACTTGATAGGTTGAAAACTGTGGATGCCAAACTGCTAACAAACATGCAGAAAGACAAACAACTGGAGCAGATTACATATTTGGAATATAGACATTCTTGTGTCTTACACTATATTTATTGTGTTCATCCTCCACATTTGAATACTAGCTCTTCTGTTGGAGCTTGTCTGGTGTTTGTTTCTTATTACAAAGATATATTTTCAAAGTGCAACTATTAGCTTTTAGTGTAGCTTAGCTTAGCTTGTATAACTATTCCATCTGCCATCAGTTGATATGAGTGTCCATACTTACAGACAGGCTGTATAAGAAATGACTCACACTAGCAGTACACTGGAGGATCAGAGAGGTGATATGCTAACATGCCTCTTCAGGTGAGCTGAAACCAGACACCTGGCTGTTACCATGGCACCGCTGGGGGGTTGATCGGAGGTGGAGAAGGACTCAAATGCAGCTTTTTTCAAGGCTTCTTGAGCTATGATACTAGGCGTTTTGTCTTCCTCCTGCTGTCTGGGATTAATTTGTAACAAGACATGGCTGGACTCAATTGAGTGTTGAGTCCTGAAGGGAGCCAGTCAGCAAATAAAAGTATCAGATGTAAAATAGTGATGGGTGGACAGTGGTGATCCTAAACGCCTGGCAGGTCTTTGCCCTTCTGATCGATGTGTCACACAGTGAGGGGCTGTCAGCACCCCCCGCCACAGGCCGAACAACGGACATCAGCACCGGTGAGTCCCACTTCTCCCACACAGCAACTTTTTCCACCGACCCCTTCATCATTTTTCACCTGCTGTCAGTTTGCAGTGAGTGTCTGCAACATCTTGGGCAGAAATAGGCTGGTACTGAATGTTGGAACATGCTGGAAAACTGCATGAAATATTGCACATGTTATGCTCGTTATACAGCATCTTTTTGCCTTCAGGGGCCTACCTGCAGTATATGCTCTTTAATCCACCAATATCCACTGCCAGTCATGGTCTCTGTTAAAGTATAAATGGAATGAAAGTGTGGTCTTTGCTGCTTACTCCGAAGGTTAGAAACTAGGCCAAGCAAGCCGGAGTGTCTCCAGTTACAGTGTTATCTCTTCCTCGGCAAGCATCTGATCATCTTTCTTTCTCTAAGTGTTGATTTGTGACATGCAATCTAAACCCTACATGATAGACTTGTATGACCCTACAAGTCATAACTGTGCATACTACGCTTTTACTTTATCTGTGAATCTTTCATTTTATCATCACTCTTGCTTGTATATTCAGATGATATCTGCAAAATAAAAAAAGAGACTATAAAGACTAATGAAGACAGAATAGCTTTGTGCAAAATTACCATAATACATAGTGCCTTTATGGTATTTACTGATTTATCATTCCAGATTCACCAAGCCCCACTCCTCTTGTAGGAGGAGGAGGAGGAGGTGAGAGGGCAGAGGGAGGCCAAGAGGAGAGGCAAGTTGTCCGGGAACTGTGGTTCATTGTAGTGATGGCAGGCATTGCCCTACTGCTGCTCGCCATCGTGCTAGCTGTTGTGCTTCATAAGGTAAGATACAGCATCTGTGTTACTGTGTGTGAATGGTGGCAGACTGATTTTACTAATTGCTCTTTCCATTATTAATAAAAACGTGCATAAACTGCACGATAGACAACTGGGGCAATCATTGCAACCATTAGAAAGCAGCTTAAACCAAACTTTCCATTCCCGCTCTTCATCATGGCCTAGGCCCTGAACAAACCCCCATTCAGCAGAGAGAGACCTCCATTGGTGGCCCTGCCCATGCAGAAGAGGAGTCCCATGGCTATCTACCCACCCAGCAACTCTATGTTGGTGAGGGGAGATCTACTCTAGTTTCTTTTTGTCTTATCGCTTATTCAACATTTCACTTACACTTTGTAAGTGAAACTGTACGTGTCTCAGTAACCACTGGTTACTGACTGCAGCTAGCTAGCTGTGTTTGACTTATTCACCAGGGGTCACCAAGGCACCTAATATTTATATTATGAATGACACTCATGACTTTTCCTGATTAGACTTTTTGCCAGTACAACTGTATAAACTACTATACTACACTATAGTGTGATATACTATATATTTTATGCTATAGTATATGATATGCATTTCGTTGCCCTGTACCTGTGCATGTGCAATGACAATAAAGTTGAATTCTATTCTATTCTATTCTATATTGTTTAGTTTCTATACTATATTACACTATACCATACGTTTTGTACTATAGTATGCTATGTTATACTATAGTATATTACATTGTTTATTCTCTATACCAGCGGTGCCCAGCCTTTTTGGGCCATGAACCAGTTTATGTCCGACAATATTTTCCGGCCTTTAAGGTGTCGCGGATAAATACAACAAAATAAAACCACTACCAGTACCAAAAAAAAAAAGGAAGATTTAATGATAACACATGGGAAAAGACCCAGGGAAACTGAGTTAACGATAAAAACGATAAAAAAATTAATGATAAAAATGATAAAAACCCTTAAAACCATACATATGTATGTAAAAACATACATATGTATGTAAAAACATACATACGGTATAAGATCATTTTAAGTGTGATGAAAAGTGAATATTATATTTAAATACAGATGTGGATTTATATACATTTCTTAGATAATAAAATGTGGGCTGTTGCCAGCATAAACTTTGAATAGAACTGATGGGCAATCAATACTACTATATTTTCCAAGGACGTATGCCATGCTGTCTGAGTTAAAAAATAATTTCCCCCAGGGATCAATAAAGTATTCTGATTCTGATTCTGGTTATTACCAGCATACACCACTCAAATTTAGTTGATGGGTAACATTTGAGTGTTTCCTTAGTATTTATTCTTAGTAGTTTCTCTGCTTAACTTTATTATTACCAATTTATTAAAGAGGTTACTGTGTTATAAGTTACAATGTATTAAGAAGGAGACTATTTAGCAAATAAGAAAGGATTGCTAGTATTTGTAGCCCATAAAATACATTTATTACATTACTCTCAACTGAAAAATTCTCTCATTCATTTCCCCCAGTTTGATACTGTGCCTGACACAACAGGCTTCTCTAACAGTGTAACGCTCAAGGCCTTCACCATGAAGATGGAGGTAAAAGCAAATGTCTAATCTACATATACGAATACATTTTTATTCTATATGCAAGTGATACTTAGAACTTTTTCTGTCTTACCAGGAAGTGCTGGAAGCTAAATGTGAGCCTGGAGATGAGGATCCTCCACAGGGTGAGTTGGGCATCCTCAGTGTGAACTCCCTGAGGCGCAGCGTCAGCCAGGTGATGGATGGGAAGTCACTCACTGGAGACGATGACGTGTGGGATCCCAACATTTCAGGCCATGACAGTGGGATGGTGAGAGATCCCAAAAACGTATGCTGTGCCTGTTTAAACTGGAAGCACTAAAGGCCTTTTGCTACAGTCACAGCAGAGGAATGTAGTATGCTATATACTGCTAACCTATGACCTTCTCACTCTGCACATTCTTTACATTTGTCCACAGAACTGTAGGTATTTAAACACTCACAGGAGAGACAGACTTGCTTAATAAGAAAAAAACATATCACTGGAAATATGACTATTTCCTTTAATAATCTCCATTCTTCTTCTACAGTTTATGGATGATGAAGAATTTGTTGATACAATCAAAGGTTTCAGCACAGTGAGGAAGGAGCACACCATGTTCACCGACACTAACCTGTGACCTGGCGGCAGGGCCGGCAACATCCTGAACAAGACTCTTAAAATGCTTAAATCCACCCTTTTTCATGTTCAGCTAAAGCGTCATAGCAGCTGGCTAACAGTTCTCTCAAGATGAGCCACCACTGCAGTAAAGAGGGGGGAGGGGGGGGGGGGGGGGGAGTAAGAGGAGCCCAATGGGATTCGTGACAAGAACAGAGGAATAACTCTGTGAAGGAAGGAGAAGGGAACTGTTCTGACATTCAAACATTACAGAGTGGAAGGTGGAAGCAGCTGCTTGTGTGGAAGGAAAACTAGGACACGTCTGACATCACCACTGGACACACAGAATTAAAGAGAGAAAAAATCAAAGATACAGACACGTACGTTTGTTAAGCTTTCCTGCCATTTTCCGCTGTAAACCCTTTGAAGTCATGCTGTATTTGGATGCTCTGTTAAAAAAATCTCTTATTTAAACCTTGACATGTTCATTCAACTTTTTATGTCAGTTTTTCCCATATTTATATATCATAAACATATCTCAGTTTTTTTTAAATTAACTTTAACACTTCCAAAGATGAAGTAAAGGAAAAAATATCTGGAATCATTAAGAGAAGCATTACACTATAAGAAGGTTTTTCCTTCCTAGGTTCATTAATTCTTAGTTATTATTAATCTCTGGCTCTCTCCCAGGGCGAGTCTTTTGTTGTGCCTCCCTCCCCTGACCTCCAAACTGGTCATGGCTGATGGCTGCCCCTGGCTGGTTCTGTGGGAGATTTCTTTCTGTTAAAAGGGAGTTTTTTTTTTAATGTGGCCCTGAGAGGCCAAACGGACTGGAACACCAGCAATAAGAAAAACGCTGCAAAAGCACACAAAGCACAATGGAAATAGGAAAAACGAAAACAGAAATAGGAAAAAACAGATTTCCAAAAGCACAAGGGAAGTGTTTCTGGGGAGGCTATAAAACGACGGACCAGTTGCAGGAACCCAAAACATTGTAGGTGTGTTTTATCATGATTCATATAATACTGATGACGGATTTTTAGGCTAATAGTTAGGCTAACACTCTGACCTCTCATCTTTTCTTTCTTCACAAAACCGATAGATCCTCTACTTCTTTTAAGTGTCTCCCAGCGCGATTCTTATTGCATATTTTGGTTCCTGCAACTGGTCCGTCGGGTTATTGTCTCCCCAGAAACACTTCCCTTGTGCTTTTGGAAATCTGTTTTTTCCCCCCTCCTATTTCTGTTTTCTTTTCTTTCTCTTCCCCCTATTTCCGTTGTGTTTTGTGTGCTTTTTCCTTCCCACTGTCGCCAAGTGCTTGCTCATTGGGTGTCATTTGATTGTAGCGTCTTTACATTCCAATAAAAGCACCTTGAGGCGACCGTTGTTATGTTTTAGTGCTAGACTATTTCTTGCAATTCTTTCACATGCATAAACTCCTGTTTTCTATATTTCATCCTCATACTTTGACATCTTATGTAGACCCATGGTATTCTTTTTTAAATCTTCCCATTAAGTTTTTACTTCCTCCAGATTTGGGAACAACCAAGGTCTTTTGCCAAAATCTATGTTGGACTGTATAATTCTAACGGCTCTCTCGTTGAGGACGTCTTTCCTTTGAGTCAGCAAAGTGCAACAGCTTGGTGAAGTCTGCAGGAAGTCCATTTTGCATCTTGCATATTTAGGTCTGTAAAGGTATTTGTTTTGGAAATTTAAATGACAAGTTTGTTTTCTTGGAAAAAAAAAAAAGTAAACGTACAGAAATGTGTTTGGAGGTGTTTCATGAATCCACAATGTTCAGCTATTAAACTGAAACAGGTCTGTAAAATATAATTGACTTGTTTGTTAAAAAGTTGTTTTAAAAAAAAAAAAAAAAAAAAGCTGAATGAACAGCCTCTATTCAGTCATTTTTCACCATTTGGGAGAAAGCTCCGGTCGCCCTGGAAAGAGCTGCTTGCACGTTTGCATGCATTAGAGGGTCGTGATGGAGGAAAACGCTAGACTGTCTTAGTTTTATGACTTTCCCATCTATGTTTTCACAGTGATAACATTAAACTGGTAAATATGAGTCATTCATTTCAGGTGAATTTCATATTTTCCATGAAATCCAAAGCATGATTCCCAGATCAGGCTTCCTCAGCCACACTTCCCGAGTTGCTCAACATCAAGCAAACAGTCATGTGAATAATTTCTACATCATATTGGAAAGTTTTTCAAACTTGACAAAAATGGTCTTCCTTGATATTCAAATACACAGTTTTGACACAGCAGTGACTTAATATGCACTAAAATAATTAGGATGGGACTTTTTACTCTGTTAGACATTTGTGCAAAGATTAGGAAATTACACTTCATATCTGAAAGGTCAAGGTTGGACATGCACAGACCTAACCTGCAAATTAACAGGGAAAACAAGCATGAGGAGGTAACTCTAGTTTTTATTTTGAAATGGGTTGCAATGCAATGAGGGCACAAAACACTTGTACTATTACAGTCAATAATATGGTTACAAAACAAACATTTACATAATAAATTAATATATTGCAGTACCACATGAGACAGTAAACATTAAACCCCAAACTTGGGAATTATATTGCATTAAAAAAATGAGTTATTTGTTAACTGTACAAAGATTTTCAGGCATTTACAAAGGCAGCCTCTTATTTCATTGCTTGTTGTACATATATAAATATAAATCTTTCAATTGGTAGTTGAACTGATATGTCTGCTGAGCAGGCCGGATGAGAGGCTCTGGCCTGAGACGAGATCTTTCAGTGACCTCTGTGCTGACTGCCATGTCATTATAAATCAGTGTTTTATTTACACAGATGGCATTAAAAGCTAGTTTAATTCAAGCACTTTCCTAACCAGATTATGACAAATCAATAGACACCTTTCAAGATATGATTTAAGTATTTCGCTGCCTCTGATTTTAGGACTTCTGATTACTTACCACGAGTTAAAACTATAAAAAAAAAAAAAACTCTGCTTGTCCCTTTAATCTAATATCCATATGCTCCTAAACAGACAAATCATTAACCATAAGAAATGTGTTTGCAACACTAAAGTGCATGCAGCACATGCTTGGTTGCGAATGTTTTCTTAGCTGGCAAAAGTAGAAACAGGTTACATATAAATAGTCTTAACACAGCACTACAAGCTTTTGACTTCCTTTACAAAATTAATGACCCCCTATTCATTTAAGCAACCGTTTGTGCGGTCCCCGACATTCATCATCTTCATCACTCCCCTTTCCGAGAGCGAGGCGTTCGATTATTACCCAGTAAAAGACAGATGTGTTAACCACAGCTATGCTATTATAAGAAGACCCCTACAACAAGCAGATGCTACTGCAGCCTCTACAGATGTTACCTGCGCTACAGCTGCTGCTATGACTGCAGAGCGTACTACATGATTCTGAGCGGGTTCAGCCGAGTGGCTGCTATGCATGAGAACATTTCTAAGATAGAAGTGCAGCAAGCTCCAAGTTTAGCTGCTAAAAGACGACTCAGGAATGTCAGCAACTTTCTGAGGATGATTTAAACTACTAACACTGATGATCGTACCTGAGAGCTAGGCTAGACCTGATCTGACAGTGTGTGGTGCACCTGTAGCGGCTGGTGTTTCGAACGTTAGCGTGCCAACTTGCTGAAGACGCGGTTGGTTTTAGAGGGGCAACTCCTGCCAGTAAGTATTGCACTTCCAGAAAGACTTGGAAGAAAGCCCAGACTTTTAGTCCTAGTGCAGATCCTGAAGGTTTTCTCAAGCCTGGGATGAAATAACCTTGGTGACATCATGTTAAAGGTTCTCCAGAGCCGCCGAAGACATTACACAGCAGTTTTGCTTCACCACACACTAATCTACTGAGGCGTACTCTGTGCTACGACAGCACACGATCAGATCACTGACGGAGTAAAGTGCTACCACTAAAATTTAACTGCTAAAGATGTAAGAGACTGGTTTAAAAATGCCACAACTAATAACAGATGCTTAACTATTTACTAAATCTGACTTCATTTGAGCTACAACACCAAGCTAACATACAATCAGACAGACTGGTTGCCACTAATGCTGAACTTTACCACATGAGGTATCTGCAGACTCGTGAAATGACACCTCGTGGGGAAGTGATGACATTGGTGGGAATGGGGAGGTTACTACTTGAGGGCTCAGAGGTCAACAGACTAGATTTACAAAATGTTTACAAAGTCCCTTATCTCACTAAAAACACCCCCTTATCCAAAAATATGCTTTACATATTTGTTCATCCAGCTACGACTTTAAGTCTTTCCACTTTTTTTCCCTATTTAAAAAAAAAAAAGTTCCCCAAACTGTGCAATTTCTTTCATCATATACAAAATATTTCATCTTAACATTCAGCTAACAGCTACTAACGAGTGCAAACCCTAAAGCAACATGCAACAACATCACTACCTACAGTTTTGCATTTTTAAATTAAAGGGTTTGTTCCTTGATCCTCACCAAGCAGTTTTCAACCTTAAGACGCTGTCATGATGTGCAACCATCAACAAATGCCATTAATGCAATGGATTCCTACCGAGGAAATAACAAAACAACACTTCATAACACGACTTGCCCGGCACTTTGAGATTCACAGATTCTGCCCGGATTCGTTTTTCCTGTCAGGCATGAACTACACAGATGCAAATTTCACCTCACACAAGCTTGATGACGTTGCACGCAGGTTGAACTTTTGTTATTTTCCTGACTGTTCACAACTCAAAAAAAAAAAAGCCCTGCACAAACCAGGAAGTGAAGTGTTCAGACTAATACTGATTACTGGCATCTATAGACAAGTTATCATGCAGTCAGAACATACATAGAGATGTAGTACTCAAGCATTAAAAAGTTAAAAGTTACATTGGAATATACGAGTCAAGGAGAGTTAAAATCCTAGGATCAACAGAGTTTTAAAAAAAAAGTACCACAAGGAAAGAAAGTCTATGATGTGGAAACTGGGGGCCACTTTGTGGGTTTTTCCTGGATTACCAGAACCCTCTT